ACCCAAACCAGTCTGGGATTCTATGATTATGCCTGAAAAACGACCTGGTACATCTACAGCATCACAAAACTCATGAGAAAATGAATTTATTACTATTTAACTGAATCCTAGCACACGTATTAAAAAGTTTTTTCATGCACTAACTCCTCATAAACACATGACACTTTCAGTTTTTACTCAAAAACTCAGTTCCAGACTACATCCTTTTAAGAAATGACTGGATTATAAATCTTTTAAATGGAAATGGAACTGTTACTCTACTCTCAGCGTATACTGCAGCATGTGCTAACCCACAGCAGAAGAGCTCTGCCTACCCCAAAAGACCTTTGTGACTCAAGCAGGCTTGTCAAATATCCCAAAACCTTTACAATACTTTCAGTCTCAGTTATACTACAGCCAGAAAAGTCCTAAAATACTTTATCTACATTATTCATAACAGAAACGGTACTTTCCAGGGGAAAAACTTACACCACAGTTCTCATCTGTTTCTCTGATAACGAAAACACCACAAATATAGAATGGAAATTACGGCTTAAAAGGAAAATTTAGAGAAGAAATAGAAATAAATTATCTGCCCCCGTGCCACTGAATTGTGAAATCTACCATCACGTGTAAATGATGAGGCACACTCATTTCAAATAATTACACCATAAGCTCACAGGGGGGGAATGATCCCGTTGTAGCTGGAACGCTGGCACCAGTGACGTCACCCCCCCACTTTGCGCAATGTGGGGTTGTTGGTGGCGTTTGTTTAGTGGGTTTTTGGTTGTTTGGGTTTTTTTTTTTTTTAGCATCCCCAAAAGACAAAAACATAAACTAAATCTTATACCTTTTTTCTCTTGGTACTCCCACATTTCTCACCAGCCAGAATGCCACGCTGTGCAAAGTCAGTGACCCCACAGTTCTGTTTTTCCAACTGCATCCCACAAACAGTGAAGTTACTCCGCTCAGGAGCGGCCAAACTCAGCCCCTCTGCTCCTTTTAAACCACTTGCTCCTTTTTTCTCCGCCGTTTGAAAGGCTGCCTTAAAATTTAAAGGATTATAGGGATCATCTGAAGTACAGAACGAGTTCCAAAGCTTTAAGTTTTCTGCCTCATCCACACTGCTGCAGTCCCACTCGTCCTCCTCTTCAGAACTAGGGTGACGAGAGCCTGAAGACTCCTCTGCCCATGAAGAATCTTCCTCCTCCTCCTCCAAATCAGACATATCCTTTCCTGGATTGCTGGAAGATGTCTGAATGGTGGCTGTAAAGTTCTGAGGGTTGTATGGATCCAAACTGTAGAAGGAATTCCAGAGATGAAGCCTTTCCCCGTCCTGGTTCTCAGCATCTGAATCTGAGAGGAGGCCTTCGCTATCAAACCCATCGTCATCATCATCCCAGTCTTCCTCATCATCCGCACTCTCCTCCTCACTGGAAACTCCCCCTATGATATAGTCTATTAATTTATTTGCACAGACAGGCCTGGCTGAAACTGGAAGGTTTTGCTCTATTTCGGAGTCCTCGTCATCCTCTTCACTCAAGGCTTCCCCCTCAAGTGCCACCTTCTCAGCTGAACCCTTGATCCCCTCCTGCTCCAAGGGGCCACCTCCAGGTTGTCTCCCGGTGTCATTCGGATCCTCGGGCCGCTTCAACTCCCCGGTATCACACCGGTGCTCCCGCCGTCGCCCTACCTCTGCTTGACAAACACCCTTGTGCTGCTGCTGCTCCTCCTCCAGGCTGTGATAGCCGTGGTCAGGCTCTGGCACGGTCAGGCCACCGCTCGCCAAATGCCATCGCTGGAGAAAA